TAAACATTTAAAAGGATAACATATAGGTTTAGTGCAGGTTCAATGACAACATAAAGAGTAGTAGTTTATTCTTGAAACTTAAATTTTCAACACTGTGAATTTAGTATTTGTCTTTTGGTTTAAGTAATGCAATTCATTCAAGTTTCAATTTGCAGAAGAATAATAGAATCTGAAACTTAAAATCGCAACGCGAAAATGACTATCGCAATGCGAATTTGACTATCGCAACGAGAGAATCGCAATGCGAAATGAAAATCGCAACGCGATTATAGTTTCGCGTTGCGATTTTGTCGTTGCGATTATCTCGTTGCGATTTTTATTTCTCGTTGCGATTCATTTCGCGTTGCGATAGTCATTTTTCACGTTGCGATTTTAAGTTTCGTGTTGCGAAAGTAAACTATTTCTTCTTCTGCAAATTGAAACTTGAATGGATTGCATTACTTCAACCAAAAGACAAAACAAAGACAAATACTAACTTCAGAGTATTAAAGAATACACAGTTTAGCAGAATTGGCAGTAACCGAACAAATTTACTTTCAACCAAAAGACAAAACAAAGATAAATACTAACTTCACAGTGTTAAAGAATACACAGTTTAGCAGAATTGGCAGCAACCGAACAAATTTACTTTCAACCAAAAGACAAAACAAAGACAAATACTAACTTCACAGTGTTAAAGAATACACAGTTTAGCAGAATTGGCAGCAACCGAATAAATTTACTTCAACCAAAAGACAAAACAAAAGACAAATACTAACTTCACAGTGTTAAAGAATAAACAGTTTAGCAGTATTGGCAGCAACCGAATAAATTTACTAAGCAATCTAAGTGAAATGGTTAATCTAAGTGAAATTACGAGTAAATTTATCATCAAGTTAAATATGGAAAATCTTAAACTTACCTCGTTGCGTAGAGTATGAACCTCATTCTACAACGATACTACCATCTCACGTAGAGCGGCAACCTCACCACGTAAAGTAGACACCTCCACACGCCATGCACCATCGTTATCGCGTAGAGTACAGATCTCCTCACGCAAGGCATTGACCGCATCACGTAACTCCCTTGACTTATCCCGTGGAGGTGGAGGTGGAGAACAGGGAGATAGAAGTCGTGGCATCTTTGTCGGTCGCCTATCATGAGGTGATGGTGGAGAAGAGGCTCGATGATGTGACGGGATAGGTGATGGCTCTGGGTGAGGTGATGGCTCTCGAAGTGGAGGAAGTGGAGGCTGCTCATCATTCGTGCCATAAAAAAAATGCTGACTAGCTTTCCACCAATCAGTGGCAAGCTCAGCCTCCGTGGGTGTCAGTCTCTATAATGGAGTGTTGGCCTCCTAAAAATATAAAAACTCAAACAAAGTTAAACGTCTACTATTAATAAATTGTTTATATATGATAGTATTTGTGTTAACTTACATTATTTATTGTCGCATATGGTATTAAGTCTTCCCAATCCAACAGACGTTCCTCTTCCAGGAAATAGCCCTAGGAATATCATTTGAAGTTTTTAATGCATATGTCCGCATGCTGGGGAAAGCCTCGAATATCCAAATCTACAAACAATATAATAATAAACATTAGTAATTGTTAAATAATTAATTATAATTTTGAAAACATTATATAGAAATTCTTGCCTTAAAGGCCCAAACAAAGCCTGACAAAGTGTATTTCGACCCATCGCCACGCAAACTTTTGCGGTCATCAAAGGCATACGACAACTTAGTCCAGGTAGCTTTCCATATATATGAACCCCACGGAAACAGATTCCATGCATTTAGGTCCTCTACCAATAATATTAGCTCCTGAGGAATAGGTTGTCTGGCCTCTCTGCCTAAAAAGCCGGCATACAAAAGTACTAGAAGGCATACTCGGACAACATCGACGTCATTCATCTGAGTAAAACTATCTTTCTTATTAAATAATTTCTTCAGGTCGTCGACGTGTAAGTTCGGCTTCTCTATTGACTCATCAGGAAAAACCCGGGATAACCATGATGGGCGGGTGATATGACGAGTGATTAAGCAGAACTCCTTCCGCCCAAAACAAGTATACGCCGGTGGAAAATGAAACCATATCTCTTCCTCACCACGTTGTATACTGTCGGGTAGATCGCTAGTCATGGTCTGAAGCCACAAATGGGTCAAATTAGCATCTCCACCCGGATGTTGTACTCTCAGCCATGGCCCAAAGCAGGTTTCCTCAAACAATTTTCTTTGTACAGGTGAAAGCTTCGAAGCAATTGTAGTGGCTCGGCTAACTTTATTCCTTAATGTCAATGAAGCCGAAAAAAATTTCTACAAAAACAATAAACATACCAAGTTAGATATACCAAAAACTACACTGTGAGATATACCAAAAACAATAAACATAAAGAGTAGTAGTTTATTCTTGAAACTAAAATTTGCAAGACTGTTTTGTCTTTTGGTTGAAATGAAAATCGCAACGAGAGAATGACTATCGCAACGCGGAAATGACTATCGCAACGAGAGAATCGCAACGCGAAATTAAAATCGCAACGAGAGAATCGCAACGCGAAATGAAAATCACAATGCGATTTTGGTTTCGCGTTGCGATTATCTCGTTGCGATTTTCATTTCGCGTTGCGATTCTCTCATTGCGATAGTCATTTTCGTGTTGCGATTTTCATTTTCATGTTGCGATTTTAAGTTTAGAAACTATTCTTCTTCTGCAAATTGAAACTTTAATGGATTGCATTACTTCAACCAAAAGATAAAACAAAGACAAATACTAACTTCACAGGGTTAAATACTAAACAGTTTAGCAGTATTGGCAGCAATCGAATGAATTTAATAAGAAATCTAAGTGAAATGGTTAATCTATTATTGAAATTACCAGTAAACTTATCATCAATTTCAATATGAAAAACCTAAAATAATGCAAAATTTTCAAAATAAAAATAATTAAAAAAACTAACCCTCGGAGGTTGATTTTCCATTTCTGAATGATTGTGAGGGATTTCTGACCAGGAATGATTTTGAGGGATTTCGCCGGAGATGGGGACAGAAATCTTCGGAGATGGGGATGGATTTCGCCATAGAGAGTGAGAGATGGAGATGGGATTGAGTTGTGATTTTAGGTTTTAGGTTATGAGTTGCGATTACGGGATATACTGTGGACGATTCAGTGTTCCAATAATTAATATTCGTGTTTGGAATTTGAAAATAAAATATGCGTAGCGATTCTAATGGCGCTTTAAAAATCGCGTTGCGATTTTACGTATTGTCGTTGCGATTTACGGATACGCATTGCGATTTACGTATTCTCGTTGCGATTTACGTATTCTCGTTGCGATTTACAGATACGCGTTGCGATTTACGTATTCTCGTTGCGATTTACGGATACGCGTTGCGATTTTACGTATTGTCGTTGCGATTTACGGATACGCGTTGCGATTTTACGGATACTCGTTGCGATAGTCAGAATCGCGTTGCGATTTATATGTTCGCGTTGCGATTCTGGGAACTGATTTGCGATTCTGGAGATCGCGTTACGATTTTTATTTCGCATTGTGATTTTGTTGGTCATTTTGACAAATCCAAAAAAAAAGTTGATTAAAATCGTATATTATAAGACATTTTTGGTCACTGATGCGATTTTCTCTAATTTATAATAGATTTAGAGTGGATATTAATCTTGAATAATTTTTTATATTAATATTTAATATATTTAGATATTAAATCTAATATGAAATTATTGACATGTGACTACTAATACCTCAATCTGAATTATTTCCATTAACTTTAAATATCGTAATTTATATATATTTAAATATTTTAATTTTATGATTTATTAAGTTATAATATATAATAAATTCAAATATTCGGTTAATAATATTATTTGAAGTAAATTTAAATTCAGATAATATAGTTTAATATTAATAGCGAAATTCAAAATTTTAAATTATTATGCCCATTTAATTTAAATATATAAAATTATCTATATTTGACTCGTGATATATGATTCTATGAATCCGGGCTGATTCAATACATGTCGGTCAAGTGTAAAACAGCCAAGGGTAGTAAAAGGCTGGGAGGCAAACCTGCATGTCGGACAAGTGTGTGAAAATCGAGAACATCACAATTAAAATAATAAATATTTGGATGAACTACGAGTTTAGTATTTAAACTATTAATTTTAATCTATTTTAGTATCTAAACTTTTAATTGTTTTACAACCATACCGAACATTTAATTTTTTTTCATTTTAGTACTCATCTTTAAAAACTTAACTATTTTAATACCTAAACTATCAAATTTTGGTTCGCTTTAGTATATAAACTTTTAAGTTTTTTCAAAACTTAAAAGTTTTGAACAAGATAATAAAATAAAATGAAAACAAAATTTTAGGTTTGATTCTAAAAAAAATTAAAAAATTAATTATTAAAATATATCAAAATTAATATTTTACGTGTTAAATATGTAATTTATGCTAAACATTTTTTTTATTAAACACTGTTAAAATAATATCTTATAGTAATGAAAAAATAACCTTAAGAAATTCCATCTCCGTTTCCACTAGCCCGGATCTTTCGCAACGTTGTTTCGGACAAAATTTCTTCATTGCGCAGAGCTAAAAGTCACCCTTCCCATTTTCTTATTATTATTTATCAAAGTTTATTTTATTTCCTTCTTTTGTAGGCTTTCTCAACCCTCCCTCGTTGAATACGGCTCCTCTCCTCAGTAGTTTACCCTTTATACTCTTTCTCCTCTCCTTTTAAAAACCCAACCCCTCTTTACCCTATTGTTCTTTCTTCCTTTTGCTTCTTCAATGAAATCCCAGACCAGTTTTGCATGCACTTAGCCTCTTTTAAGCTTTAAAAACATACTCCTTATTTGTAAGCACTGGGATATTTCTTGTTCTTAATTCTCTTGTAATTAGAATGCTTCTGTAACATAACACTGCTGTTTGTAGCAGGTTCTGTTCTTGTAACACACTGGCTACTTGGGTAATGAAAATTGATGATTTATCCACAAAAAACATACTCCTTTTTCCATCTTTCTTCGTTTTAAGCTTCGTGATTATCGTAGGGCGGTTATAAGTAACGATTATGGAGTATAATCAGTTTTGGTTTTGGAGGATATGATTCGAGGTTAAAAAGGTTTCTGAGCTTGTTTTTGTTTGTTTCCTGAGGATTTTGTTTTGGTTTTTAGTGTTGTTTCATAGAAAAGGAAAAGCTTTTCAAGTTTATAGAGTTGCATATAGATAGATATTTATATAAGAAATATTAAATGGCACCAGCGACAGCGAGTAACAGGCTTTCATTTTCACTATCTCCAATGGAGATGTTGAGGTCATCATCTGAGACAAAGTTTGTGTCATATGAAGGATCTTCAGCTGGTGTTGCTCCCTCTCCTCATTTCCTTATCGATAACTTCTATGCCAATGGTAATCCCTTCTTCCCTCTTCTTTTTCTTCTCATAACTTATGCTTGCCTGCCTAGAAAATACGAGAGAACCCATGGGTTTTTTTACTTCATTTGAGCTCAGTTTTTCCAGCTGGTTACTTAAGTACACCGGCTTTAAAAGCTTACTGTTTTATCCAAAAAAAAGTTACTCTCGTGTTCACGTTTGGTAGTTAAGGGAAAGTTATGGATTGAAAATATAAAAATCTTGCGATTTGACTCGTTTATGTGCATGTTTGATTTTGAAGACTGGAGGGACCCAAAACAACAAGTGTTTTTTACGCAAGGAGTGAACCAAAGCAAAGAAACTCAAGCACCGACCATGGCATATGAATCTCCCATCCTCACAAGCTTCCACCATCAAGTACCGAAGCTTGAAGACTTCCTTGGCGACTCATCGTCGATTGTTCGGTACTCAGATAGCCAAACCGAAACACAAGACTCGTCTTTAACCCAAATCTATGACCACAGCGGCACTGCTTACTTCAATGAGCACCAAGATCTCAAGGCCATTACTGGGTTCCAAGCGTTTCCCGTAAATTCTGGATCAGAAGTCGATGATTCGACTTCAATGGGTCGAACTCAATTGACTGCCGTTGAGTTTCCTGGTCATTCCAATGGTGCAATTGGTGGTGCTTTGTCACTCGGGGTAAATCAAAGTTGCGAAAATAGCACTAATAAAGCTATTGCTTCAGTTGACTCGGATAACGCGAAGAAGATTGTTGATACTTTTGGTCAGCGAACTTCAATCTACAGAGGTGTCACCAGGTCCAACATCCCTCCAACTCCTTCCTTTTTCTAGTTCTATATGATCCGATCCGTTTTTGGTGCCATTAATCGAAATTAATTTGTTTATAATATCTACTTGGCTTGGGCAAATGCAGACACCGATGGACGGGCAGATACGAAGCTCATCTATGGGACAACAGCTGTAGGAGAGAGGGTCAGGCTAGAAAAGGGCGTCAAGGTCATTTCCCTACCAGGGAATCGTTTTATAGTCCGGTTTAATTTACACCGGTTGAATCGTTTTTAGTGTACTGGCTGAAACCATTGAACCGTTTAAACTAGACCAGTTAAAATAAAAAAAAATCAGGAAAAATCGAAAAAACTTTCAATTTTGGGTTTTTTTAAAAAAAAAAAATTTAAATCAAACTTCGTTTGTTAAACGAGTCAAGTTGAATTCGAGTATTGTTGAGCTTGATTCGAACTTGAAAACTTTAAAAGTAAGTTCAATTCGACTCAAACTTACAAGTTAAAAATTATGAAGTTAAACTCAAACTCGAAATATAATATTAAAACTTAAACTCGAAAAGTCTTGAACTCAAAAAAAAATTTAGAAACTCGATTGAAGTCTAAAATTCGAGCTTGATTGAAGTGAAAGAATAGTTCACTCAATGTTCGCTAAAAGGTTTTATGATTTAGAATGTCAAATTATCTCTATTATTTATAGAAGTTAGTTGGGATGCTCTTCTATGTTTATTAGTCATGTGAGATTGTTTTGTTATCATATTTTTACTATTTAGACTTTTAAGATTTTTTTATGTTTTTTAGTTATTCGATATTATTTTTAAAAAAAATTTAAATTAAAAAATATTATTTTGTTTTGATTTTTTTAACTTCAAATTTATTTTTTAATTATAGTTATATAATTATATTTATTATTTAATATGTTTTATCTTAATTATTATGTTGTAGTTAATTTGAATCATTTTGTTTTACTTGATTTTATGATTTTTAATTTATATATGTTATGACTTATTTTAAATATGATTTGTAATATAAAAATTTATTTTTTATTAAATATTTTTAATATTTTTATTTAATTTTTTAAATAATTATGACGTTTAATTCTTTCGATCAGATCGATTTAATTGATTAAACCAATAAATTAATAGTATGATCGATTTATTAATCAGTCATGTTTTAAAAACCATGTTCAAAACTAAGTACAACTATAGTTTACACGGTTAGAACACTGAAAAGAAGCTTGCTTGCTTTGCATGCATTATTCAAAAAGGGCAGGGGGAGATCAGTGGGCATTTGTTTTCAGCCTTTGTTTATTGAAAGACTGATATGTTTTCGATAAAAAAAAAAGGCAAAAGAAAAAAGAAATACTGTAGATATATAGCACACAATGGTACTTTTAATTACTGGCAAAACCTTTTGTTTTCAAAATTTTTTTTTCTCAGACCCTTGATTGATTTGATCAGATATGCCGCCATTTTATTCATTTGTCTTCTTTCTCTCACCTGGCACTCTGTTTGACACGACCCACACCCACCACCGGTTCTGTCCCAGGCCTTATTTACCGCTTGGATGAAAGTCCCAACACTGAAACAGAGAACTATCTGACTTTTACCGACTATTCTTTTTCTTTTGCTATTAATTTACCCAGACAGACAGCCCTCAGCAGTCAGAGAGAGAGAGAGAGAGAGAGAGAGAGAGAGAGAGAGAGAGAGAGAGAGAGAGAGAGAGAGAGAGAGAGAGAGGGTCTGGGTTTGACTGGAACATAGCCCACGTTACCAGCCTTAGCCTACAAACACTGCCCAGAAAAGAGTCAATGGCTCGATGTTCATTGTGGTTTATTTAGATTTGAAGTTCAATCAAGGGTAAAGAGTGTACAAGTGATTGCAAGGGTGTGTTAAAAGACATTTTTTTACCAGCTCATATGCTTCATGGATGACTCCTGCAATTTTGGACTTGCATTGCGTTATAAAAATGATTCCAAGCGGAAATTTTGACCAATTTATCACCTGATATTAACAGTCCTTTACTTTTTTGCATGGAAATGTGCGTTCCATGTCTGTCATGTTGGTGGACATTGACAATTGTTTTCTACAGTGTACTTAGGTAAGAAAACTCCAACAGTTGTTTTGTTTTGTTATTATAAGTTTAGATTTGTTGCCTGAAATATTGTATAACCCTAATCAGGTGGCTATGATAAAGAAGAAAAGGCAGCTAGAGCTTACGATTTGGCAGCTCTAAAGTACTGGGGTCCGACTGCCACCACCAACTTCCCGGTATTATATATGAACAGTTTCTTAACGACATTTTACGTTCCCCGGAGCATGAACTTGTTAACTTATCGTTATCTTGCATGTATTAGATTTCAAATTATTCAAAAGAGTTGGAGGAGATGAAACACGTGACCAAGCAAGAGTTTATTGCATCTTTAAGGAGGTTGGTTCGTGTTGTATTCTTAATAAGTTTGCCATTCCTTTTTCTTGGTTGATTGCAGTAATTTGACCTATCGTTCTTGTCAATTGAAATTCAATAGGAAGAGCAGTGGATTTTCAAGGGGAGCTTCGATTTACAGAGGTGTGACAAGGTTAGAACATTCTTGAATGGAATTCAAATTGTCTTAATGATGTTCTATCTATTATGTGTCTTATGGTATTTCTGTTGCGAACGATGATTACTGATGCACTAGTTTATCTTAATTTGGCAGGCATCATCAGCAGGGTCGATGGCAAGCAAGGATCGGTCGTGTTGCAGGAAACAAGGACCTTTACCTAGGGACTTTTGGTAAGGCTGCAATCATGAGTGATGAACCTATTTGTTATTGTATTGAAGAGATGATTTATAGAGAATATTATTGCTGTGAGCTGATAGTAATCTATCTTATGCATGGTAATAGCTACTGAAGAGGAGGCAGCAGAGGCCTACGATATCGCAGCCATCAAGTTCAGGGGTGTGAATGCAGTGACCAACTTCGAGATGAACCGTTATGACGTCGAAGCCATTTCCAAGAGTTCTCTCCCCATTGGCGGGGCAGCTAAGCGGTTAAAGCTATCCCTCGAGTCTGAGCAAAAACCGAACGTGAACCACGAACAACCCCAGTGCAGCTCCAACAGCAACAATATAAATTTTTCTCGCATCCAGCAGCCAATATCTACTATTCCTTGTGGAATAACTTTCGATGCTGCTGCATTTTATCAGCAGAATCTCTACCACCACCTTCATGCTGCAAACATCAGCTTCTCCGATCCCCCTGGTACTTCCTCAACAATGGCCACCCCAATGACCTTAATGTCACAGTCGGCAGCCGATCAGTTCTTTTGGCCTAACCAGTCTTGCTGAAATGACCGAGCCGGGTTTTTTTTTTAACAAGGAATAGTTTGCAATTCAGCTAACTTAGTTTGCAACAGGCGGCATGTTACCTAACCATCACAATTTGATCTATAAGACTATAACTTCGGGTGGAGGCTTTGTTTTTTCCCCTTCTGTTTTGAAGGCTGGGTTTGTAAAGTGTCTTGTCTTCAAATGTTAAAGGCCTAACCTTTTGCTGAAATGACCGAGCCGGGTTTTTTTTTTTAACAAGGAATAGTTTGCAATTCAGCTAACTTAGTTTGCAACAGGCGGCATGTTACCTAACCATCACAATTTGATCTATAAGACTATAACTTCGGGTGGAGGCTTTGTTTTTTCCCCTTCTGTTTTGAAGGCTGGGTTTGTAAAGTGTCTTGTCTTCAAATGTTAAAGATGAGAGACAATGCTGAAATGAGCAAATCCATTCCATTTTCTTGCGAAATGTTTCGTAAAGTTGAACCACCGGCCGTTCAAAGGCCACGAAAACGGAAAACATGTATAATTAAATTAACAAGCTTTTTGCTTATTGGCTTACAGCAATATGAGGACCACTAAAAGACGTGCAAGTCTGAAAAGAATGAGCTGAAGTTGCATATTTCCAACTTTTCTGTCCCTTTCCGTTTTGACTATTTGGACCATTGTCCCTTTGTCTGCCATGGACATTTCATTCTCTGAGCTATCTTTTGGGAAAACAAAATCAATGCCACGAGTAAAGCAGCCACCAATATTAGCTGGCAATATTACTACACTGAAAATCAGCCCTCATAAACACTACATTCACAACTTCACCACTCAAACAACCACCAAACACATACACTTAACAAAGAGAAGTTACCATACACCATCAATAAGATAAGGGAGCAAGTCTGAAATGGACACTTAATATCTGGAGACCCTTGTTTATTCGAGCGATTTTCTTTTGTGGGTGAGGACGACCATCTGACCCCTTTTTCTTACAGCTGCGATGGTTTTGTAATGACATTCATTCATCTCTTCCCCTCTTTTTGTTTCATTACCAGTTTGGCCTTTAAATGTAGATATCATTTCCTATTAATTCTCGAATTATCATGAGATCTTTTAAGTCTTTTTTTTTTGAGGAATTTAATTCACTTGTTGAAATCTCGAGCATTAAGTCGAAGAATAAGGCTAGAAGGGCTCCATAAAAGTAGTAGACATTTTTCTTCCTAAGAATGGTGGTTGAACTTGAACTTGAACTGTCACTCGTCATCATCACAACGTATACTCCTTTGAAGCTTTCAATAGCTCTCATAGTCATATTATGAAGAAGATGACAGTCTAGAGCTTTGTCTATGGTATATTTATACTATCCCAAAAATATGTTGGTCAAATCAACCCATGATTTAACTTGTTCCTCATTCAATTTGGTATATCGTCCTGTAACATGTCCAACTAGACTATCACGAAAGTAGTGAACTATCAAATTATCATCATTTAAATTATATTTCATCTTTCTACAAAATATTACTAGAAAAATTAGATGACAATTGATACCATCATATTTTTTGAAACTAAGAACTCTAAATTCAGGTTGAATGACAAGATTAATAATTAAGTATAGTTCTTTCGCTTTTAGCTATGTAAAAAGCATCAATATCTTTTATAGCTTTGACCCTTTCTTTAAACTATTTACATTTATCCTCAATTTGCTCAGAAAAATCATCTAAATTTTCAATAATAGGGTTAGTGAGGCTCTTTTAAAATTCGAGTGAGATACTTTATGTTAGTTCACATGATTAAATGTGTTAGCTTGATAATATTAATGCCTTTCGGTAGGCACCACTAGTGGACATGACTCGTATGGAGTTTGGGTCAGAATAAATAATAGCATTAAACCAAATAACTCAAGTATTGATTGTGAGAAATATTGATGGGGATTTTTTTTTTAAAAAAAATTCCCCATCAATATTTCTCACAATCAATACTTGTGTAATTTGGTTTAATGTTAATGTTAATGCTGATGGAGTTGTTCGTTGTAGTGATCTGACGGCTACTTTAGGTGATATCTTACCTAGTAACCAAGGGAATTAATTGTATGGTTTCCCCAAAAGCCATGAAGATTGTTAGATTTTGATAGTAGAATTATGGGTGTTCACGATATGCTTGTGCATGCATAGAGACTTGTTGGGAAATAACCGAGTACGAGTAATTTCCCTATAACCAGATTAGTGAGAATGCGAAATAAAAACGGAAAAATAATATCTGAAATTGATAACAGAGTTCATCAAATTTTGACTACATCTCCGGACTGTTGTAGATCTTTTACTAAAGAGAGAAAATTGAGTGAGTGTTTACTAAACACTCACTACTCACAATAGAACTCTATAAACTCTTTAGTATTGGGAGAAAGAAATGATTTTTTGAGATGATTTTGAAGCTAAATGGGTTACGGTATTTATAGTTGAAGCTTAAGGACTAATCTTGTAAATATCCTAAAGTATGTAGGGACTAAAATGCAATTATGCCAATTTCTATTTTCAGCAAAAAACAACACCGAAATCAGTGCATTAATTCACCGAAATTCCCAGCCAAAATTGTTGAAATCCAGCCCTCCAATTTTGACTTGCATCCCCCAATTTGACTTCCAACAATCTCCCACTTGAAGACTGATTTTAATCTGTCTTCACACCTTGATCAATGCAGCAACATTTCTGATCTTGTTATTCTAAATCTGCGTCAGCCCTTCCTACTCCTTGAAGTCTGTCACTCCTCGCATTGAACTCTTGTCATTGGAGTTCTCTGCGCCATCATGCATCAGCACTTTCTCACGGCAAAGTCCGATGCCTCTTCTTGCATCCTCCCTTCTAACATGAAGGTTGGAGCTCACTTCCCATTTTGTAAATGGGCAGTTTCTCCGTGGTTGCCTTTTCCCTCAATGTCTTGACTTCCTTCGACTATTGTTTACTAGTTTTTGAAGGATTGTTCCTCACTTGAACATCCTCGGCAAGCCCTTGCTTCGACCTTGCTTCGACCCTTCTCTTATGATGGTCTCTGAAGCCATGTTCTCTACGCGAACATGCTCGACAAACTCCTTGGACATGGACAACTCCTCCTGCACTTGGCTTCTTCTCGCCTTGGCAGAAATGAACCTTATTGAGCCAACTCTCAATGCCTCTTCGATCATGGGTTCGCCATCTTCTTTGGAAAACTCAATCCTGGGCTCATCCATCACATTGGATGACTCGACTCCTCTTGGGTAGTCTCACAACACTTCTGGCATCTTAAGTTTGCACCCCCTCGTTTGCTCGACTCTTACCCTCGGCTTAGCATCTTTGACACTTGAACTTGTGCCAAGCCTGGAGACATCTTCCCCAGACTCACCATCTGGTTCATTATTGAGTGGATTTTCTCTTCCACTCTAGGAACAACATTCCTCATCCTCTGACTTGCCTTCATTATGAAATTTCTTGTCGCTATCCTCGACTTTCGGCTTTGCTTTGGAAGTCTTGTTCTTCTTGACTCCAAATTCTTTGATGGACTCAGCGGTTATCAAGGCTTTAGACAACTCCTTGACTTCCCTTCGCTCCAACACTCTCTTCGCCCATGGCTTCAATCCAAACATGAAGGTGAAGAATCCATCTTCTTCAGTCAAACTTGAGACTTTGAGCACGAGTCTTCTGAATCGGCTCACATACTCCTTAAGTGTCCCTTTATGCCTGAGACACCTAAACTTGGACCACGCCTCCATCCTGGCATACTGTGAGCGGACTTGCTCACTCTTCACCCTTGGCTTGATGGCTTTATCTCTTGCTATCGCACCGAGTCCTTTTCTGTGCCTGACTGCTTTGACACCTGTAGTCTCGCCACGCCTCACTCCTCGATTTACTACTTGTGAACTTGTAGTTGCACCATCATTGCCCCTTGATTCGACTACTTTGGAATATGTAGCCTCACCAAGTCTTGCTCCTGAGTTGATTGTTTGGACACTCGCAATCACATCGGGCTTTCTTTTGGGTTCAGTTATCTTAACACCAACAACCTTGCCTCATCTTGATGCTTGCTTGGCCGCATTGATCCCCTTAATCAGACCAAGTCTTTTCCCTAGCTTGGCAGCTTTAACACTTGCAACCACACCAATTCTTGCTACTTCTCCTTCTCTCATCCTCTTCATGATGGTTGTATCCTCTAATCAAATGAGGACCATCACAAAAGTATCACTTCAATTTTTCTTTGCTCCCCTTCTTCTTTACACCGGACTTACCCTTGCCATTTTTTCCCGATGTTTTTCATCGGCTACGAACAGTCGATGGCTCACATTGGCCATTCAAAGAGCTTTCTCTACCATATTCTTGTTGCACCTTTTCTCGGTCTCCACCACTGTTGCCACTATCTCTTGGTATGGGCCTGGACGACACATCGCTACTTGGCTTGACACCTGCAAGCTCAGTCAGCTTTCCGGCTATAGCTATAGCCTCTGAAAGTCTCTGTGCATCACTTTTCTCTCCCCCGAGCATCGCCCCTGGTCTAAGTCCTTCAAAGAAGGTCTTGAGCGCATCCCATTCACTCATTGCTCCCTTGCATATGAGTAGCTCCCTCTTGAGCTCATCAACTTTGTTTCTCAAAGTCATCGCTCTCACTTGAATCTGACTTTGTTTGGATCGTTTTTTACAATTCTTGCGAACCATCGTGTATTAGAACACCTCCGTCGACAAATTCGTATCACCGATAAAATTTTTACTATTCACGAATTTTACTATTCACGTGGATAGTAATGAATAATAACATCACAAAAAATTGACAAAATTCACAACCAAATGCTCTGATACCAGTTGTTGGGAAATAACCGAGTAAGAGTAATTTTCCTATAATCAGATTAGTGAGAATGCAAAATAAAAACGGAAAAATAATACCCGAAATTGATAACGGAGTTCAACAAATTTTGCCTACGTCTCCGGACTGCTGCTGATCTTTTACTAAAGGGAGAAAATTTACAAGTGCTTACAAAACGCTCACTACTCACAAGAGAACTCTCTAAACTCTTTAGTATCGGGAGAAAGGAATGATTTTTGAGATGATTTTGAAGCTAAATGGGTTAATGTATTTATAGTTGAAGATTAAGGATTAATCTTATAAATAC